TCTTGCTGTCTGGTTACTTAGTTTGAGTGCACTCAGTCCAGTAAGTGGTGATAGAGACTGGGAATCCAGTGGCAGGTGTAACACTGCTTAAATCTGGTGAATTATCTTGACGTAGCAGTTCACACTAAAAAACTTACTGATAGGAGAATATTGCTGCTTAGTATCCTGTTATTTCTGGGGGCAGGAGGAGAGAGAGGAGCCCATATCAACTGACAATGTAAATTTAAGTTCCACTTAAACACCTTCATACAACATGCAAAGTGTGAGCTGATACAATGAACTGTTACACATTTTTCCTTTTATCAGCAAAGCATTCATCTCTTGGTTAAACACATTCTGCTTAAAAGCATAAAGTTGTTTAATGTGGTATGTATCCAAGTAGCTTAATATTTTATGCATTTCTGGTCTTTACAGGAAAGTGAGGAGGAAGAAATTGGAAATCTTGAGCTAGCCTGGGACATGCTGGAGTTGGCCAAAGTCATCTATAAGAGGTAAAATCTAAGGCTGTAATTTGAACGTTTGCTAGAGAAACTCCCTCAGTTGGGAGGTGGTGTAGCATGATGCTGCATATTCTGAAGACTTGAAAACAGCTTTTTTCCCTTGATTTAGGCAAGAAACAAAAGAAGCTCAGCTTCATGCAGCTCAAGCTCATCTAAAGCTAGGAGAAGTCAGCATTGAATCTGGTAAGTAGTGCTAATTGTTGTGTGTGAAGTGCTAAGTTAAATCTTGTCATGTTTAATTTCATACTCAAAAATGAGTGGAGGTGACTTAAGGCTGAGAAGGTTGGGGAGTGGTTAAAAATGAAAACAGCTCAACTTTGTCTAATTATAACAGTACAGCCACAGGATAAACTTCTTAATGGGGGACCCAAGGAAGTTTCTTAAAGAGGCTGTACCGTGCTTCCCTGGAGCAGCAAAAGAAAGCTTTGTGTTAGAAGTGGTGTACTATCAGGCTAAAGCAGAACACAGCATTGTTTCATGGAGATTTGGTTAGCTTCAGAAACTGGGAAAGCCTCCTTAGGTTACTGTGTTGTAAATACACAGAGCCCCCTTGAGAGGAGTAGGGGAAGTGGACCCTAAGCAGTGCTGGACTGCGAGCGCTGTCATTTGACGACAGGGAAGCATCCTGTTACTGAGCTCAGCCTGTATTCCACAACAGTTCTCTTTTCAGACCACATCAGGTGGAATGAAATATGTAAAATATGTTCTTTGTAAAGACTTTGTGTCTTGCTTCTATAGAGAACTATGTGCAAGCTATAGAGGAGTTTCAGGCCTGCCTGGCCCTGCAGCAGAAATACCTGGAAGCTCATGACCGCTTGCTGGCTGAAAGCCACTACCAGCTGGCCCTGGCCTACCACTACAACAGCCAGTTTGATGAGGCAGTCCAGCAGTTTGGTAAATCCGTAGAAGTCATTGACAAGAGAATGGGTGAGTTCTCCAAAATGGCCTCGCTAACTAAAGGGCTTTTGTGGTCAGCACTAACTTTAAATTGCCCTAAAACTAGTCTGCGATGCAAATGTTCACTAACAGGCCATACCAACATCAGAACTGTCAGAACAGCATCTGTTGGTGGGCACTTGCCTCTGTGGTGCTTGTAATGAGACAGCTGCTTTGCCTTCAGGCTTTTTTTGCCATGGTAACTTTGTCATTCCAGCAATGCTTACTGAACGAATAAAGAAGGCAGAAAGTGGTTCCCCCGAAGATGAGAAGGAGATTGAAGAACTGAAGGGACTCCTCCCTGAAATCAAAGAAAAGATAGAGGATTCAAAGGAGTCTCAAAAGAGTGCAAGGGTAGCTGAGCTGGCATTGAAAGCAACTCTGGTTAGTGCATCCTGTGTTTTCCTTTGAACCAAACGTTCTTCTAGCGAGGCTTGAAGTAAACCAGTAATGGGAGAAGCTGAGACTTCACACAGAGCAAGAAGTTAACTAATGCAGTTAAAATCTAACAATAGGATTAATAGCAAATATATTGAAATTAATTGTTCCAACCTAAACTGAATTTGTTAGGGTTCTAAGCAATAAGTCTGAGTCAAATGTGAGACTTGAGTGTTACACTGCTACACGAGCTTTTGTTCTGTCTTTGCTGTATGTAAGTGCAGAAGTAGAATGCAGTAAGACACAGTTGGATTTCCTGCCACTTCCTAAACTGTGTACTGGCCTTTTGTGAATAGGTGACAATAGGTGCTTGTTAACTATTTCTCTGCTGTTCTAGGTTGGAACTACATCTGGTTTTGCACAAAGTGAAGGCAGTGGCTCTGTTTCTACAGTAAGTTGGGCAGAGAAAGTTGCTGAGAATTCATGTCTGCTTTAAGGATTATGGCTTGCTGTTATTGACATGTCAGTGTCTGTTCCTTAATAGATTCCAGTAAGAAAAGCTGCTGATGGAGCATCTCAGTGTGTTACAGACATCTCTCACCTGGTCAGGAAAAAGGTGAGTCCAGCAATGACCAAGGGAATAAACAGCTTGTCAGAGTATCGGCGTTTTGCCCTCTATAGTTGGATTTCTTGGCTTAGAGCTTTTACTATGGAGCCTGGAAGAACACTTAAAAGTAGTAACAAAAACGGTGTGTAAAACTCCTTTCCACTGGGAGGTGATCAGTGTGGGAACCACCCAGCTCCAGATGTGTTGGTGATGGTTCAGCACCGTGCCTGACCACAGTGATGTAATTGCAGGCTGAATTGTTTGCCCTCTGGAGATGTCCTCTGAGCAAATGCCCTGCTCTGGAGGAACTGCAGGAGGAGCGGGGCAGCCTGTAGATACTGAAAAATTAAGATGAAGACACAACCAGGCTGAGTTGGGTTCCCTTCTTTCCAAGTGGAAATGGAGAATTGAACTTGAAAAATAGCAAAGCCAGCCCTAGTGTGTAGCCATGCTGTCTCTTACTCAGAGAACAGGATATGTTGAATACAAGGTTCCTTTAAGAGTATAGGGATTTTCCAGAGTTGTTCATACTGCTAATTATCCTGTATGGGCTCTTAGTTTTTATATTACAAACTGTTATGACACAGCCTGCCTTGTGTTACACCGCCTGCTTTGAGCTCAAGTCTGTCAGCAGCAGCTTTGATCTGCTTTACACAGGTGATTGTAAATAGCCTCTATTCACTTAGCTGTTACCTAGCTCAACAGTAACTCATTCCCCTGTCAAAGTATAAGGATAATTCAGCACTGTAGCTACTGGCACTTGCATAATCCTTCTGGTTATATGTTGAGATGTTTGTGCTTCAGAGCTTTGGTTAAATCCTAACGCTTAAGTTCTTGAACCTGGCAAGTAGAGCTTAAGTAAGTAATGTACAATGACATCTAGATGCTGACTTTCTAAAAATACTTCAATTTGTACATAGTGAAGACTAAACAATTTTGTCTTCAGAGGAAACCAGAGGAGGAGACCCACCAGGGAGACAATGAAGCTAAGAAATCTAAAGCAGAACCGGCTGTCAATGGTGGCGGTGGTGACGCTGCCCCCAGTGGAAATGAGGTTGCAGAAAAAATGGAAGAGGAGGTGGGCAGTTGAGTCAGGACTCTGTGCATATATATATATATTTTTTTTTTTTCTTCCCCCTCTGTTCAGGCACGGTTTTGTGCATGGTTTCATCTGTTGCTGATATACTTTATTGCCTGTTGGTCTTCAGAGGCTTCCCACAAGTTGGGGAATATTCCCAAGCTGCATGTTGTACTGAGGTGTCTGACACTGATTGAGCTGGGAAGATGCCAGCTTTGGCAACCTGCAGCCAAAGGGCGAGACAGAAAGGTGCTGGGGCCCTGCATGTGTGATTTGGGTTGAACAACAGCACGAAGCCCTTCTCCAGAGCATTTCTGTAGTAGAATGTTTAAAGGTTTTAAAATCCTTAACTTGGCCTACGATTTTTACTGTTTCAGAGTAGTTCTGGGCTCTGCCGATGAGCAAAGCATGCATGGTTACGTCTTGAAATTAAAGAAACTGACTGCTGCATGAGTTGGTGCTGTAATGCAGTGTTTGATTTTTAAAAATCAAATACTTCTCTTTCCTTTTAGACAGAGAAAAGGCCACAAGCAGAACCAGGGGCTGCAGTTGAAAGCACAGTATGATAATTCTTTAGCTTTGGACACTCCTCTGCTTCAAAGGAAAATGGTTTTGTATATAGTGTATTTTTTCACTTTTTGGCAACTTTTGTATGACTTCAATAAAGATTGTAAGCAAATGTTCCCTATTCTGACCCTGTTTCTCTCTCAAGCTCCTTCCTCCCTGCTTTTGTGCTGCAGCCTTGCTTTTCTACATAGAGCTGCAAAAGGGTTGAGCTGGGGCAAGAGGAGGCAGTGTAAACCCTGAGCCTGTAGGAAGGTGCAGGTGTGGTGTGGTACCTTCCCTGCTCCCGTGTGCTGCAGCGGCAGAAGGCTGCAGTCCCTGTGTGCTCCCTCCCTGCACTCCTGGCTTGCTATGGCTGAACTGCATTTTGCAAAGTTGGTGCTGGTTCTGTGTCATCTGACGTGGCAGCAGTAGTACAGCTCTGTTCTTCAGGATATGACTGCAAACAGTGAACTTCATGGTCTGTACGCTGAAAAAGGCCAGGAGGTGAAGAGCTGTAGGTAGAAGCCATTTATTTCACACACCCACCACGAGCCCCAGGATGATAAAGGAAATCTTGCCATGGGTTTTGCTGCTCCTTGGTTTGAGCCTTGAATGCCTCCTGTTAAGCTTTTCCTAAATGTATCTTGAGATGTGTCTTAATAGAATGAGCAGTAGGGGAGGGGGGAAAAAGAATGTGAGTGAGCATCGTCACAAAAAAAGTCCCTTATCAAAAGTCAGGGTGAGCAGCTCTCACTGCCTGAGCAATGGGACAGGGCACAGCTCATCCTGACCTCACCTCTCAGGGCTTTTGTGCTGAGCTGGTGCCTCCTGAGTAGGAGGGGGGTCATCCAGAGCTCCAAAGAAGATGCCGGGGAGGTTGGAGGGCGCAAGTGGGTGGCTGGAGGCTGTGGGGCTGCTTGTCCTTAGTGGCTCCTGGAGAAAGAAAAAGGTAGCTTTAATGGGGGCGGGCCCCCTGGGCACCGGGAGCAAATCACACTTGCAGTTTGGCACTTACACAGGGAATGCACCCCAGTGCAGCCAGGGAGCAAGTACCAAGTCAGCACCCTGGAAAGGCCCTCCCAAGGTGAGAGTTACCCTGCAACACGAGGACCAGACTCACCGCCTGAGCTAAGGCTGGAGGGAGCGGAGGGGCCACGGGCAGTGGGAGGACGGCTGGGGGCGGGCGCTGCCCCATCCCCTCTGCCTGGCGTCGCAGCAGCATCTCCACATTTGCCTTCAGCTGAGCCAGCTCTGCATTCTGCCGGGCTGCCAGCGATCCTGGGGAACAGCAGCTCAGACACGCTCAGCTGCCGCCTCACAGACAAATGGGCATTGCTCCATTTCCCAGTCACCCACCAACATCAGCTCGCATCTCCCTCCGGACCTTCAATGCCAGGAGCTCATCCTCGAGCCGCTGGTTCTCCAGCTCCACAGCCATCAGCGCCGCATCGAGGCCCCGTGCCGCCTCAACAGTGATGGTATCCCGTCCCTGGGCTCTGTGCTGGGGCTGGTACTTGCTCATCTTCTGTGCAGCCTTTTTCTCAAGTGCCATGGCCTCCAGCTGGAGGTCTAACATCTGTGCCAGGGTGGCCTCGTCACGGCCACCAGCACGCAGGTAGGAGAGCCGCAGAGCCCTGCCATGATGCTGACATGAGCGTCTGCTGGGTTCTGCTGGGCTCCCGCCCCACCCTCAGCTCTCACCTGGCCTCAGCTGCCAGCGGCCCAGAGGGCGGCAGGAGGGTGTTGAGGTGTAGGGCATCCCTGAGGAGGATATGAGCAAACAGGGGCCCAGCAGGCAAAGGGCCCTTTCTGGGCAGCATGCAGCAGGGCTCACCCTCGGTGCTGGTGTCCAGCTTTGTCTGGCAGCAGCTCTGCAGCCCAACTCATTTCTGGTGACAGATGCTTGTTGCACAGCAATGCCAGCTGCTGGCACAGCTCTGTGGGACGCACAGCTTGGTCACTCAGAACCACAACCATCGCCCCGCACCCCGTTTCAGTGCCTACGCTCTCTGTGCCGCTCTAGCTGCTGTGTCCTGGTCCGGATTTCAGCCACGTGGTGCTGATGAGCCTCCAGCAGCTCCGGTGCCCGTGGGTCCCCTCGCGGCGGGCCGGGCTCTCCCTGGGGCACAGAGACAGCCACGGCTGTAGGGGCCGAGCCCACGAGAAGGGGGTGACCCCGCACTATGCTGCAGGCGAATGGGGCCGGTGGGGCGGTCTCACCCGCTTTGCTGGCCGGCTGGCAGCGGGGGCACGGAGCAGCGCCCGCTCGCGGGGCGTGAGAACGTCACCCAGCGGTGCCCCGCGGGCTCGCCCCGGGCCCTCACGTCCCACAGAGAACCGAGGGAGCCCGGAGAGCGGGAGCAGACGGCGGTGCTTGGGGCGATCCTCGTGCCGGGACACCGCGACCTTGAAGAAGCAAACGGGACGGGAGGGCGGGAACTGCTCAACAACAGACGGACGGGCGGCACAGCTGCTCTCGGAGGAGCCGCGGCCGCAGCCCGCGTTCTCGCCCGCGGACGCGTCCCCGCCCCGCGCCCAAGCCCGGCCACGCACTACCGAGGGGTCCCGCAGTCCCTCCGTCCTTCCCGCCTCCTCCCCCGGCCCGCCGAGGCACAGCCGCTCGCGGTGCGCCCTTAGCAGCGCCCGGGAGCCGAAGGCCATGCGGCAGCGCGGGCAGATGAAGGCTCCGGCGGCCGCCATCGGACTCCTGCAAAACACCCGCGCCCCTCGGCCCGGCTCGGCGGCCCTCCCTCCTCCGGGCCGTCCGCGTCGACCCGCTCGGGGACGCGCCTGCAGTGTTTGAGGCCGCCGTTGCTACGGGCGCCGAGCCCTGCTCCGCCCCAGGCGCACGGCCCGTCCCGGCTCTGTTCTGCGGGCCGCCCTCCCGGCGCTCACCTCCACCGCGCGGTTCCTCGGGGCTCCTCTCTCAGCTCCCCCCGCGGCGCTCCTCCGGTCCCCGTCTCTACCCGGTGCGCCCGGGCCGGGGCAGCTGGCGGAGGCCGCGTTCCGCCTCGCGCTGCCCGGCCGCCATTTCGGGCTGAGGCTCTCCTCTTCTTCTCCTCTCCTTCTTTCTCCTTCTCCTCAGCGCAGGGCATAACGCCTCATTGGCTTCACCTGCGCTCACAGCGCTCCCCGCTGAGCCGTGAGGGCTCCCGCCTCAGGCACGGCCCGTTTCCACACAGCGCTGCTCACGAGCGGCTGTCAGCGCGGATACACGCTCACGGACTTCTAAACTTACCAGTTTCTTGGCTTTTGTAGCGCTTTTCCTCACGACTTTCCCCATCGATGGGTGAAGGCAGACAGCCGTCACAGACAGAAGCGATCTGACGGAGCGGATCGGCCCTGGGGAGCGCCTCACGGCAGCCCAGCTCCGCGGGCCCGGCTCCCATTACACACAGCCGCACACTCCTCTCTGCGTGGAGCAGCAGCAGCTCCACACACAACCCAGCCGTGCTGCCCTGCGACGCCCAGCTCCCCCGCTGAGGCGCGACCCCTGCTCGCCCCCCGGCCGCAACCGCGCACCTGCCTTCCGCCCCGCGGGTTGTGTTCCCAGCTAAACGGACACTGAAATAGCTTAGGCCACACCTGAGTTGTTTGTAAAATCCTTTTTAATCTAATAGAAATGTTTTCATGATTTTTTAAAAAAGATTTCAATGAAAACAGCTTTGGATTCAGACATTCCCTTGCCACGTTGTGAACACAGACAGCAGCATTGCACCAGGAACAGGCAGTGACACCGACCGGTCGAGCTCCACCATTTTGTATGAAGCGGAAAATGAAGCAAACTGCTTGAGTGGAAGATAATTCAAATTATTGTCTTTAATTTCTTAAAAAAAAAAAAAAAAAAACAACCAAAACCAACAAACACGGGCTGCCATCTCTCCATTGTTCTCTCCCTCTCCCTTTGTAAAGGAAGAGTTCAGCTCCTGCAGTCCCAGCACTACAGCAATGTTTGCCAAGTGGAAAAAACACAGTGGGAGAAGCAGCTCTTTATCCCCAGTGCTATTTGAACCCCAAAGTTGCACATCCCTTTAGAGGAAAGGTTTTCTTACATAAGAAAGACAATTAGAATTGGCAAACTGATGCAAAATATTTATTCCAAGTTAGTTATTTTTGATGCAGTAGTTTTTCCCCCTCATACAGACTCAATGTGATAGTCACTTTTTTAAATCTGTAAATAATGTTATCAAAATAATCTTAATCTTTGAAATCTCACAAAAAATTTATATTTTACAATCCACCCTGAATATCAAGGCTGCAAGAAGAAGAACACAAACAATTCCTATATCCAAATATTTTACAGCTGTACCCAAAAAAAGAAAACCACAAACGCCTGGTTAAGTGATGAAGCTCCCCGAGCCGCCAAAAAAAAAAATAAAATAAAATAAAAAATTCATGTTATTAGCATTAATTTAACATAATTAGAACTTCAATAGCCATTTTGTCATTGACAATGATTGTTTTAGCACATGTTACCGCACAACATTGTGTAATGCGGGCGGCACTGTTAGAAGCTTGTTGTTGCAAAGATCAGTCAGCCACTCGTATCCTGCTTACCAGACTGAACTTGTGCACTGCCCCACAAGGGATTTCTGTCAAAATTTGCTAGCTGCACAAACTTCTATTAAGCATTAGGGCAAAACCAAAAGAAAAAGCTAAAGAAGCCAATTTCTCTCTTCTTTGGGATACAATTATTTCCCTTGTGCATGAAGTATCAACAGAAGAAAAAACTGAACAGACTGGAGACAGAATAAACTCTGTTTAGTTTATACAACCCCCAAACACATGTTGAACTACGAACTGAGTTTATTGGGTTGGTTTTATTTATTTTAATTTTCTCGTGCCCACTCTCAGGCATCGTCATCTGAAGTCTCGCTGCTACTGGTTTCTGTGTCCGAGTCCTCAATCTTTGTCTTAAAAGTGCTTCTCCAGTGGAACAACAGGCTGGAGCTGCGGCCCTGAAGAAATCCATTCTTCCCAAATCCGTTTCTTCTTCGCTGTGGGAATGAAAGTAAGCTTTAAAATAAGCACAACTACGGAGAGTAACTGTCACCAGCCACCTGGGGATGCTGTTCTACGGTCACTTGTATATTCATGTGCTCTCTGTGGATGATGGAGGGTCACCAACCGCCATCCAGTTTCATTTCTGCTCTTTGTCTTCCACAACATCCTAAGCACTGCACTACAGAGGACTTACGCAGCAGTGGCAAGAGTTATGAACATACCTGCTCTGATTTAATTTGGAACTCTTTGAGCTCATCCTCTGTGAGGGGAAGGTAATTCTCATCATTTTCAGGATATTCCTGCCATCCCATTTCTTTCAATAACCTGATTCATGAAAAAAAAAGAAGAAAAAAAAAGGGCACAGGAATTAAAGCAATTTAAATCCATTAAACAAAGACAAAGGTGAGAACTGCCTGTCCATGAAACACAAGGTTTTGTATTAAATTACTTTGAGTTCACCAGGGAATCTTCTGCACTACACACCACTTCATGTTTAGCATTTACCCAATATTTTTCTTACTCAGTGTCTTCTACAAACATTTAATCATCAGCATTTCTGTACAATGGGTAAATAACTAGTCTGGCAGAAGGACAAAAACCAAACAGATTTGAAGTTCTACCCAAGGACACTGAAGAAGGATGTGAGATAAACTAGCAACTCAGCTCAAGATCTTCTAAAAGTTACTACCCGCTGACACCAGATGCTCACAGGTCACTCACTAAAATAAGATACAAACTGAGATATAAAGTAAGAATTTTCTTAACTTTCTGCAGAATTTTTTCACAGAATTTAAAGCAGCACAAGAGTATTCCAAGGGCAGATAGAGAGAAACCAGTGAGTATGAGTATGCAAGTACCTGATTCATAACCCAGATCATTACCTTTAGGATACCCAGTAATAAATTAATGGAATTGCACTAGGTTTATGTTGCCTCACCACGTGGGCAGGTAAATCCTAGGCAGCATTAACGCACAAGGACGTGGCACAAGGGAAGTGCAGGAATTTAATTACAGACCTTGGCAAAGTCTTGGCTCAGCTGTCATCAGTGTTTGTTTTACCTGAAACTCCACCACCCAGTCCAGCACATAGAAATGGAACCCACACCTCCAGTTCAGCTTTGTGTACTTCCCAGAAAGTTCTTTGGAATAGTTTCCAGCTTGCACAGTCCGAGGACATGCCGTCTTTTACTCCAGACACCTTACTTGGTTATTTTCTTACCTGTGTTCTGCTTCCAATGAATGAGAGAGGTTTTCCCCCTCCTCTGGCAAGGGGAGAGAAAGGCCATTTTGATGGCAATTCTCTTCCCAGTTTTCCTTTGGTTCTGGTGTGCTGTTGCTCTCCATCTGAAGAAAAATAAAAGCAAAGTGCACAAAGAACACCATGATTTCACACTTCCAAGTTCAACTTTCTGCTCTTGGGAGTAAACCAAAGCCTTCTGAGTCAGGCTTTCAACAGAGCCTGGACTGACAATAACTTGGAAAGCAGCTTCTACCTAGCTGTGACAGGACAATGCGATATGGATGACATTTTGATGCACTGCACTTTGATGTCAGGGGAGTAAGTGCTGGCACTGCTAAGCCATCATCAGTGC